TTCACACACACTCACACGCACCATTCACACACACTCACACACATCATTCACACACACTCACACACACCATTCACACACACTCACCACCCTATTCACACACACTCACACGCACCATTCACACACACTCACACACATCATTCACACACACTCACACGCACCATTCACTCACACTCACACACACCATTCACACACACTCACACGCACCATTCACACACACTCACACACATCATTCACACACACTCACACGCACCATTCACTCACACTCACACACACCATTCACACACACTCACACGCACCATTCACACACACACACACACACATCATTCAGACACACCATTCACACTCACATGCACCATTCACACTCACATGCACCATTCACACTCACACACACACACACACACCTACAGTATGGCCAATTTGGTAAGTCCAATCAGCCTCAGCATGTTTTTGAACCGTGGGGGGAAACCAGGGTATCTGGGGAAAACCGCACTACTATTGGGGGAGAAGATGGAAGCCTCACCCCCCCGGAGCCCTGGTCCCAGAGTGTGAGGCAGTAGTGCTGAGCAATATTAGTGCAAACTATTATTATACAAATATCTGTGTCATTCCTTTTTAATGCTGTAAGATTAAGGTTTTTTTTTTTTAATTCTTAGATGATTTTGTGAATAATAGACAGATAAGGGGGCGGCATGGTGGTGCAGTGGTTAGCACTGTTGCCTGACACCTCTGGGACCTGGGTTTGAGTCTCCGCCTGGGTCACATGTGTGTGGAGTTTGCATGTTCTCCTCGTGTCATCGTGGGGTTTCCTCCAGGTACTCCGGTTTCCCCCCACAGTCCAAAGACATGCAGAGGCTAATTGGAGTTACTAAATTGCCCTTAGGTGTGCATGTGTGAGTGACTGGTGTGTGAGTGTGCCCTGCGATGGGCTGGCCCCCCATCCAGGGTTGTTCCCTACCTCATGCCCGTTGCTTCCGGGAACCCTGAACATATTTGAAATATTGAAGCATCGAGCCAATCTGGGGTTTAAAAGGGAGAGTAGCTTAAAGTAAGTTCATATTTCAGCTGTGAAAAATAAATATGAAGTAAATCTTTTTGCATGAAGGGTTAGGGTAAGATTGAGAATGTAACAAAACTCCTCAGGTTTTATTCAGTTTTTCATTATTATTCAAATGTAATTAATAGTTAGTGCATTTAAATTTTTCATAAAATAATAACATTTATGTGGACGGGTTCCTCCAACCATCCATCTCCCAGCCATTTGTTCCGAGCAGATTCACAGGGTCGAATTCTTCAATAAAATGTAAATCCTGTTGTTTATATCTACTGAGAACATTAAGGTCGTAATAATTATTTTTTCTTTTATATTGCATATCATGACTTAGTCATGATACTGATAATGACAAATTGGATACCTAAGGCAGATTTTCTTTCATATATTTTCTTTTATGTAAAAATCAAATAATATAATTTTATATCATTTTTGCAATAATTTAAAGTCAAAGTCAGCTTTATTGTCAATTCTGCCACATGTACAGAACACACAGAGAATTGAAATTATGTTACTCTCAAACCCTTGGTAGAAAACATTAAATATATAAAAAAAAAAAATAGAGTTTTTAAAAATACAAATAAGAAAATATGAATAAGTACAATATACAAGTAAAGGCACCTGGCAGAGAGTGCAAACCAGACATATAGTGGAAATAGAGCTTATAAGTATGATAAGTGATAAATGATTAACATCTTGCCTGTTACATTAAACTAGAATAAGAAGGTAAACTCATACAAAGGATTATCTGACAGGAATATAGTTGCACTCTTACCTGCAATCAGAAGTCTAGTGGTCGTATTTCCAAAGCGGTTTCTTTCTTCATCAGAGGATTTTCCATCCGGTCCAGTGTAATGTTTCAGATATTTTGCGGAACAGTAGTAAAGTCCCAGTTCAGACTCTGTGATGTTTTTAATTGACAGACTGAATGAAAACGATGAGTTATTCCACACAAAACTGTACTGAGGAAGAGGACTGTGCAGCAATCCGTAGCCAGACAGTTTCAGTGGAGGCTGGTTATCATGAGAGCATTTTCTGTACCAGAAGGTATCAAACTCATATTTGACATCACACTGCAGGGTAATATTGTCTCCCAGTCGGACGACCCTCAGCACAGCCTCCTCAGACCTTCTCTCCTGTGAGGAGCAGCACAAACCTGAGGAAGAATCACACTGTGAGAAGGAGCAGCAGCGATTCAGCATGACTGTCTGAGATCAGACCACCATCATGGTCATTCACTGAGTCACATAACTACTCTACTACAAACATAAAGAAATTACTTGTTGCTCTAGGTTCTACAGCTGGTCTGGAAAAATGATCCAGTTCTCTTTCTACAGTAATCAGACACTCACCGAGCAGAATGATTAGAGAGATGCACGTCGTGTCCATGACTGAGTGTGTCGTCTAGTGGTAGGGTCTTCAGACCGTTTCCTTTGCAATGGGCGGACACTAATTTTAATGTAGAAAGATGGTGATGTCACCTACTGTCACACCAGTGTGAGTTTTAAAACATTTGCACGTCTGTGAGAAGTGTAGAAATTTTTATCTGAATATCAAAATTCTGAACGTTTATACTTTTAAATTAGCTTAAACTTAAAATTAAAATTATTTTTGAAACTAAAAGTAGAGTTGTTTCGCATTTGATTTATGTTTAGAGAACTTGTAAATCAATCGTGAAAGTTTTTATGGAGTAGCGCTTGTGTAAAAATCAATGGTATTTTCCTCAATTAGATTAGATATAAAATGAAAGGCGTGTCAGTGACATGAGCAGGACCTTTAGTCTGAACATTAGACGTCTCAACTCTTATTCCATTAAATGAGCTTTTTTTCTCGTATGGCTCAGTACCCGCGAAGTAGCTTTCAGTTTCAAAAAGGTTGGTGAACCCTGGTCTAGAGAATAAATTCCTCAACATGTGTTGGGGACAGGCAGAGCTGTGTGGTTTGGGCCCGTAGTCTGTGATGGTCTGTAGTCTGTGATGGTCTGGAGGCCCTGCCACATGTGCTGTGTGTCTCATGTTGCTGAAGTGAGTCTTGATTTTTTTGATCATGCTCACACTTCACTGGCCTGATGTCTCAGGACAGGTTGGCTCTTGTCTTCCTGAGTGCTGCCTCATCTCCTGCTCTGAATGCAGCGTCTCGGGTTTTAAGCAATTTGCCAACTTCTGCTGTAAACCATGGCTTCTGGTTGGAAAGTGTGGTGATTGTTTTTGTGACTGTGACACCCTCAATGCGCCAGTTGATGTAGCCAGTCACTCTGGCTGCAGACTCTTTGAGGTCTGCGGTCTGGTCATCATTGGCAGCCGCTTGTCTGAAAATGTTCTAATCTGTGTGGGGGGGGCACAGCATGGGGACATCATCACTCACCTGCGTCAGGTCCCTCGTCTCAGTGACACAGCACTCCCTCTTATGTAATAACACCACATTATGTAATAACGTCACATTATGTAATGCCTTAATGAAATGTAACAAATGTTATGGCGCAGGCGGGAAAAAAGATGACAAAGGGGAGTTTATTAAAGAGACAACACACAGTAACAAAAGAACAGTAATTCACACAATGACCAACTGGAGAAATGAACAAAAGCAGGCACTTAAATACACTGATAACAAAGGCAGGTGTGAATCATCAAAAACAACCAATCAACAAGGAGAGAGGGCAATGAGACGCAGGTGAAGAAACTAACACTAATTAACGCAGAACTAAGGAACTTACAAGACCTGAAACTAAGGAAACACAGGGAAATAATACTTTAGGAGAAAATCAAGAAACAAGTAAAACAGAAGATAACCAAGGCAGGGGCAGAGAACCATAAACAAGACAAATTAAACAGAGATAAATGAACTAACGATAAAACAATGAATAACTAACAGGAGAGGTTGGCCTTGAAGCCATAACTGTAGTTTTGCAGCTTCTGTGCCGCACACTCAACTCCCTGAGTCACTGGGCAGTAGAGGAACAAAGGGTTAGACGGGCAGTGAAAAGGTGGGATGGCCAGCGACACCTGCTGGCCAAATGGTGTAGGGACACAGAGGGCAGGGGCGGATGGGCACTCACCCTGACGACAAATTATCAGCACATGATGCTGTGTTATTACATAATGCATTGTAACACACTGTATAACTGTGTAACAACACATTACGAAATATCACAGCATTATGTACTGTAATAACTCGACAAAATGTATCAAATGTGTAGCCTTCATAATAAGATCATGTGTAAAGAATCATGCATGTGCATGCATTTTAAGCAGTCATTTTCAAATAACACCACACGGGGGCAGTATTGACTGCCTGGCAGGTCCATCAGAGAGTTCTCCGCTATGTGGGATGTTTGCATGACCCGCAGGCTGCAGCTAAAATGTGCAATTGTCATGTCCTGCCCACCATGTCTACCTAATCCTCCTGTTTCCTTCATCACCACAGCCTGTTTATATTCCCCTGTATTCCCTGAATAAATCTCCCCCCTCCCCGGGTATCTGCCCCTTCATCACCACAGCCTGTTTATATTCCCCTGTATTCCCAGAATAAATCTCCCCCCTCCCCGGGTATCTGCCCCTTCATCACCACAGCCTGTTTATATTCCACTGTATTCCATGAATAAATCTCCCCCCTCCCCGGGTATCTGCTTGCACCCTTGTCCCCCAAGCTTAAGTTAATTCCAGAATGATCTACTCAGTGGATAACTTGACACTCCTATAATTTTATTATGAGACAGAAAGATTTAAATCATCTATACAGTATGAACAGCATATTTACATTTGAACTAAAAAGTGTCACTCTGAGTAAGCATAATGCCAAACCTTATTCATTGAAGACATGGAGTAACTTTTCATTCTGAACATTTTATTAATTTACAAAGAAAATCAGTAAAATCAACAAGCTCTCGGAATAAATGCAAAGGCTGGCAACTTGGAATTTTAAAACTCATTTTATGCTGCATAAATGATTTGCGCTCATCACACTCGACCCCTGTAGACTTCGGAGTAGGTACACAAATCACTTTTTTGATCAGGCTTTGCCCTGGACGTCTTGGGTCCTTTACGGATCTTCAGTGTGGCATAGTTCAGCTGTCCCTCCTCCTCCTGTGGATAAAAACAATTTATAAATATTTTCTGATATAGGAATATTGTCATTGTCACAATGTATCACATGAAGCACATTTATATTTTAGCGCATAATTTCTGAGAGAACAATTACTGTAGTAGAAAAAGGGTCAGGCTACAAAGCTGATCTACTTACCTCTTCATCGTTAAATCTTGTAATTTTTTGTTTAGCTGCGGACTGTTTTAATCCTACAGAAAAATAACAAATATAAGGTTAAGGTCAGCAAAGACACATAATGAAACATCCAAAGGAGTCTCTACAGCAGGTCAGGAATAAACAGCATAGAGCATCTCAGCAATACCCCAGGCTCTCAGACCTGAACATGCAGGTCATCTCTGGTGACCCAGGGGACTCACCCTGTCTTCTCCCCAGCCAGTAGGTACCGACAGAGAGAGGAGCACAGAGCAGAACAGCCGCAGACACACTGACCA